GTTAGCACACAGGATCACCTACAAAGTTGTAATATTTTCAAAACGAGACCCTAAAACATCTGTATGTATAAATCCAGGTTAAGTAGTTAGCACACAGGATCACCTACAAAAGTTGTAATATTTTCAAAACGAGACCCTAAACTCTTCTTCTTTATTCAACTATTCGAAAACGCTCAAGTTTTGAAAATATTACATCTTTATATATATTCATTCTGTTCATCATGGTCATCCAAAACATCAAATTCAGGTTCAATGTAACCCTTCCTACCCCTAAACAACTTACTACAAGTTTGAAAGAAATTAAACAGTAGAAATGAAGCACCAGTTAAGTCATTTTACAAACTTATAGCTGCAACTAAGAAATAATTTTTCAGCCAAATAGACCTGTATCTGGGTTTCCAAAACTCATATCATTTGCCATTAATATTTAGGTTAATAGTTCTTTTCATTGCATAAAGGATTCAGAGGCAAAATGCTGGTAACTGGATTTGTGAGGCATCCACTCGAGTGCCATGAATATTTGATGCCCCAGAGCAAATATAACTGATATTTGACTTCTCTATACAGATAACTGATATTTGTCTTCTCTGTACAAATAACTGATATTTGACTTCTCTGTACAGATAACTCATATTTGTCATCTCTGTACAGATAATTGATATTTGACTTCTCTATACAGATATTTCATATTTGACTTCTCTGTACAGATAACTCATATTTGACTCCTTAGAGAAGATAACATGGATAACATTTCCTACTACATATATATATATTACTTATTTAATTTGAAAGTTGTGTGCTCAAAATGAAAAAAACAAACTTTTTATTTATATTTTATACATAATTTTTAAACTATTCCCAAAAGCTGACTCACCTTTTTTAGAGGTTAAGAAAATGTAAAACTAAGTAACATAATAATGGTGCTACTTTATGATCAAGTTCAAACTATTTCTGGCTGTTGTACAACATGGATTTCAAGATATACAAAACATTTTACCTATTGTATATGTAAATTTAGGCATCTTAGTTTTAAATATATACACCAGATATCTCTTTTATTCAAAGCCTTTAATAATTATTCCTTTCAAAGTGCAAACTGTAACAAATCATTAGGGAAGATTTAAAACACACCGATTCTCTGTTTATCAAAGGGTTTCTTTTCAACCAGACGATGTTCGATGCTTTGCTGAATTGCATCTCCGGCACCCGTTATGATTAAACCAATTGTGGCATTAGTTACAAATAAGTGCTTCGTGAAAAGTTTCCCTCCTACTCTCTGAAGTTTTACAATAATTGAAGTCAGCATGATCATCTAAATCAAGATTTCGCACAAATTCTAAATGGAAGAAAAAAATAAAATATGTACAATTATTGCAGATATACAACCAGTTTCGAAATTAAGAAAAAATTATTATTAAAATTTTCCAACCTAAACATACAGTTTTTTTCATATTTGATAAAAGAGTTGAGAAAAAACTTGTGGTACTTTTAATTCTACTTCACTTATAGCACATTCTATGATTGATTAGTTTGTAAGTTAAGCACAAAGCTACACAACACACTATAAGCACAAAGCTACACAACAGATTATAAGCACAAAGCTACACAACAGACTAACCATGCTCTGCCCACCACAGGGAAAGGCCATAATTTGTGACATGTCAGATATCAGCTCAAACAAGCATTTAGGTCCTTTTGTCTAGGATGTTTCAGCCAAAGTTTACCATTTTTTATATTCCATCTTCTGAGCTGCCAATATACTTTTATTCCTATCTATTTTAAATTAAACAAACACCAAACAAAAATCTGATATCCAAAAAAATATACCCAATGTAAGTTATCAGAAAATAGGATTCCAGCCCATAGCTCTGTGACTGTACAGATTGTGTGAACTATTCCTACCCTAATAAGCAGATTGATGTTATCCTGAACAAGATACAACATCAAAACCTTAGTTTAATCAACTCTCGGATTCTATAGGTTGTGTGAACAATTCTTACCTTAATAAGCAAGTTGATGTTATCCTGAACAAGATACAACATCAAAACCTTGGTTTAATCAGCTCTCGGATTCTACACATTGTGTGAACAATTCTTACCTTAATAAGCAAGTTGATGTTATCCTGAACAAGATACAACATCAAAACCTTAGTTTAATCAACTCTCGGATTCTACAGGTTGTGTGAACAATTCTTACCTTAATAAGCAAGTTGATGTTATCCTGAACAAGATACAACATCAAAACCTTAGTTTAATCAGCTCTACGATTCTACACATTGTGTGAACAATTCTTACCTTACTAAGCAAGTTGATGTTACCCTGAACAAGATACAACATCAAAACCTTGGTTTAATCAGCTCTCGGATTCTGCACATTGTGTGAACAATTCTTACCCTAATAAGCAAGTTGATGTTATCCTGAACAAGATACAACATCAAAACCTTGGTTTAATCAGCTCTCGGGTTCTGCACATTGTGTGAACAATTCTTACCCTAATAAGCAAGTTGATGTTATCCTGAACAAGATACAACATCAAAACCTTAGTTTAATAACCTCTCGGATTCTACCCGTTGTGTGAACAATTCTTACCTTAATAACCAAGTTGATGTTATCCTGAACAAGATACAACATCAAAACCTTAGTTTAATCAGCTCTGGGATTCTACACGTTGTGTGAACAATTCTTACCTTTATAAGCATATGGCTTTCATGAGACTATCTTTTTTTTAATCTTTTAAAATTCTTTTGTATATTCACATAACTTTTGAAAAATAGAAAGATTTCAAATATATTTGTAGTCAACGTATTAATTTTAAAAAAAGTAGAGGATTCAGAACTGTAGCTGATAAACGATCGTTTAAATAATTACTTTTGTTTATATAAACATTTCTTTGGTACAATTTTGCAAATCCCAAATAACTGAATATTTTTGAGGTTCGTTTTCACTTGTTAAATTACAACTTTCATCTTTCAGATATGCTAAAGTGTTTATTTTATGCAATATCAATAACTGTACATTATGTTATTCAGTTTTGTTTAGATTTTTTTATTACTAGCAAAAGTAACTGGCTTTGCTTAGGTTATTAATTTGATTTATTCTAGATAACTATGTCAGTGTGTGTGTGTGTTTTAGTATAAAAGTATAACCTATAACTTGTCTTCCAATTTTAAACTTAAATAATAAAAAACAAATCTCTTTAATTAATGGAACCTCTAAATTAGAAAGCAACAATTATTTTTTTCAATTTTATAATTTATACATTTCAATTTATATTTTCAGCACATAGCAATATTAGGTTTTACTTTTATTGCTAAGCAACAGAATATAAAAGCCATGCATTGGAATGCATTGTTACCAAAATGCACTGGCTTTTCTATATATTAGAAGTTATTATATAAGGAATCACTACTTTTCTATGTGGTTTTTCCCTAGCTTGCCTCATTAAAATGTTCTGCATACGCGCATGCATTTGGTTAAGATAAGTAATAATACCCAGGTGCAGACCCTCAGCATCCACTTAGTATGGGTGCAAAATTTCAGGTTTCTAGGTTTTTTCTTCTTGGAACTACAACGATCACATTTCTTTTCTATGTGGTTTTTTGCATGCACATATATAAGTAATAATACCCAGGTGTACACCCTCAGGTTCCACTTTGTATGGGTGCAAAAGATATAATTTTCCTATAATGATAATGTATTTCTGATAGGTACTTCCCTCTTCTCACAAGATTAGCTATTCTCATCCAGTGCTGCATTCTACATGCAAGTTATTTCTTTATGCATGCCACAAGCTTTCTGCTTCACCCTATTGGAATTGAATGATTCCAACATGTCTTTCACGAAAATCATCATGCGGAGGAACATGACGCATGTGATTCCCTCTATATACCTCTACCAAACTATCACTTCAAGGTTTGGCAGAAGACATAAGCAATGGAGGAAAGTGAGGAGGAAGGGTGGGAAGTGTGAGCGGAGTGAAGTACCTATCAGAAATACATTTTCAGTATAGGAAAATTATAACTTCTCAAACGGTACTTCTCTCTACTCACAAGATTACCTAGAATTCCACATTGATTAGGTGGCGAGACCAGTGCAAGGGAATGACAGAAATAACCCCCCAAAAGTATCCAAAGGATACCTCTGGAAATGGGAGAGTCAGATCTGAAGATCTGATGTGGGTAACCACACCACTTCTAAATCAGGTATACTCTTTGTCCATCCATGAAATGTATAGTAGATAAGGGTAAAATAAAAAGAGGAGCACATCCAAGTGGGAGAGAACTATGACAAGATAGTGTTCCTAACAATGTAATTATATATGGAACTCAATCCCACAAAGTATAAAAGTGGGTAAATCAACGGATGTGCCCCTAGGTGTAGAGTGCCTCTGGGAACCAACATCCACACGGGAGTAGGATGAAGATCATACCATCTTCAACTCAAGTTCAAGAGACCGAGGGGAATCTAGAACCACTCCAACTTCTGAGCATGACTCGTGTTAGCTTTCATCTATCAATCTGAGGACCCAACATCTGGTATTGAAAGGATGTCTATATAATATAAATCAACTCCCCCAGCAGCAAAACTGACCAAAACCATCCAAAAAGTAATAACATCCTCAGAATGAGATACACACGAGGGATAGCAAAAATGACAGAACCAGAACAATCTCCCTTACTTCCACTGTAACCCACAACACAGAAGGAGTATGATCGAGGGAGGAAAATAGACAACCTTAAAAATGTGTGAAGACTTATGTTGATTGGTTCTACTCTAATCCCAAAACCCAGCCACAGGGTACCGAAATCCACGCGGGGGTAGGATGAGTGAAGTATAATTTGATGTCTCACTCCCTTGAGAGTTATACTGGATATTGGAAGATATCATGTCATCTACACCCGTAGAACACCACCTCCCTACTCTGCACTGAATGGTTATAGCCATTTTTGTGAGGGACCCATTCATGTGGGTGCGTCCATGGTCGGCCACCCCAGCAGTTTGGAACTGGAAAGTAGTAAGGACTCCTATAATCCACTTGAAGAAAGAGGGAGTGAGGATGTGGTGGAAAGTCCAGAAGAATGTTATTACCTGAGAAAGTGCAATGGGTGACCACAAAACCCTATTTTGAAAAGCAGACCATATCGAGCTATTCACTAAAAGCATGGCAGGGATGGGCAGCTATCTCCTTCTGCTTTGCCCATGCAGTTTATGGGTGGTATGGTCTGGAACAAGCAAGCTTATGAAGCAATTACATCGCATGATTATTCACCTATAAGTAATTTGTGGAACACCCCATCTAAACAATGAGCATCGTAAAGCCATGGAAGACAAAGTGTGAGCCAAAATGGCTCTAGAGTGCAGAATCCAAGTTGAAAAATACCTGGTCAGGCATCACTTGCCACAGAGTAGGATCCAAATAATGAGTAAATGAAGCAAGGGCCACTGAAAGGAAAAGAAAAGTATGAATATAAACATACCCAATAAAAGTCACAGTGAAGCCTGAAGAATAGCCAAAAGTGGAAGAAGAAAAACCCATCAAAGAAGAAACCACGATATGGTATAAATAATGGGAGACGAATGTATTAGGTGTAGTCCGCATGCTCGATTGTAGGATTTTCTCCAATGGTCGACGATGAAGAGATGCAAGGGAAAAAGTGTGGTGTCGATTCTGATGAGAAGATACCTGGAAAATTCTGGAAGGAAGACAAGGTGGAATAAGCCAATCAAATAAAAAGTCAAACTCAATTGGTGATGGTAGAAGGGGAAAGATCCTGAACAAAGGAAGACTGCCACCAAGTACCATGGAAGGAATCCATGCAGGCAATATCACAATGAAGAGTACGGACCAGATATAGAAGTCTATCCAGATCAGGACAATAGCAGAAATGAGAAATAGAAGGCAAAAAGGAGGAGTTACACTCGCTAGCCACCGAAGTCTTTGGGAAGAAGGAATGATCTGGATAAAGGAGAAGATAGGTGGGGTGATAAAGCATATGTGAAATGTCAATGACAAACAAATCAGACCTTCGACGTTCACAGACTAAGAGAAGAAGGAAAAACGTTTTAAGGGAAATGGATAAAACATCATATACCTGAGAAACAAAATCCCAAAAGACCATATTAGACCTAACTGACTCCTCATGTGGGGGCATCGGAATGCATGGCAAAATAAGGAGGTGGAAATAGGCTATCCAAGTCCTTATCCAACTGACCAGCTTCAGCTGGTTCGGGAGGAAATGGGGTGAGGTCCGGAGACAGAGGTTGACCCATGTAATGTTCAATCTTCCAGCGATTAAATGTGGATAAAATTCCCCACTGAGTTGCTCACACCGGAGGCCTGAGACATAAAGCTAGTCGCAGGTGTGAACCCCGAGGTGGTAACATGAATTTTGGAATTCATAATGAGAAAGAGTCAACCAATAATCGAAAATATAAATAACAATGTGAGTGTAATAAACTGGGATTAAAGTGAAGTTAAGAAACAGTCTTAATAGAAACTAGAAGTAAAAATAAATGAAGACCACTTTGTGAGTATACTAAAGACGAAGGTGAAACTTTAAATGAACAGAAAAAACACATCTGAGCACAAGCACTGCCAAACAAGAAATGATAGAGGCATATATAGAGGGAGTCACATGCATCACATTCACATCCTATTGGTGGAGAAGTGATGTATGATGATTTACATAAGAGACACGTTGGAATCATTTGATTATGTGGTATACATAAAGAAAAAATTGCATATAGAAGGCAGCACTAGACGAGAATAGCTAATCTTGTGAGTGGAGGAAAGTACTGTATCGGAAATTCTGGTTTCTAGGTTCTTTGCACTTGGTGCTATGATGGTCACATATTCTTTTCTATGTGGTTTTGTACTAGCTTGCCTCATAAAAAATGTGCTCATACATGTGGATAAGTAATAATACTCAGGTGCACACCCTCAGAGTCTATTTAGTATGGGTGAGAAATTTCAGGTTTATAGGTTCTTTCCTCTTGAAGTTATGGCAGTCACACACACAGACACACCCTTTTATTATTGTAGATTACACTGTTTAAATCTGTACTAACTTTCATTTATAAGACATGTTCCATACCACAGATGCAGCAAAGCAATAAAAACAATGTAATAATAAGCTGTCATACTGTAAGTATTGTAGATGTGACATTCACTGTAATACTGTAGGTATTGTTGATGTGATACTGACAAAGTATGCAGCATACATGAATCCAAGTATTTGAATGTAAATTACCTTTGCTGAAATCCATGTGATGAGCAGAAATTAGCACATTGGAATTCACGAACACCAACAAAATTTCATGGGACATCAAAGCACATATATTTTAGATTTAAACTGATAAACATTCGGAGGACAAAATATCGCGTGGTATAAATTACTGTATGAATATTAGTACTGCAGCTTTGACATCTATAGCAGAAATCACCAACAGATAAACAAAACAGAAAAATGTTACAAATAAGCTGAAAGATGAGCACCTGAGGTAAATGTCATCTAGAGTAAGAATTGAACATAGATAGTTCTTAACTTAATAGATTGGAATATTTAAAAATTTAAATTGTTTTTACCACACATACACACACAAAAATTTACCTATTTGTATGATAGTAGATATTCTTGTGTTGACAACTGTAAGGGCATTTTGTTATATATCCTTGTTAATAAAACATAAATTTGGAAATTTTAAGTAAATGATTTACTAAGTTAAATATAAGAATGGATCAAGTTTAGTACACAAACACAAATGTTATTCACACTAGACTTGGGCAATTAACTTGACCAATCAACATAATCTATGGTTAGTTTCACATAAAATAATTCATTAATTAAAATTTCAATTCAATCAATTAACATCATGAACTTAATCAACTAACCGAAATAAGTGTTTCTGATCATTCCAACTATCCAAGTAATCAAAGTACTGCCATTATGATTTATTATTTTGGATTAATACAAGGTTTTTTATCTTAATTGATTATTGTCATGACTCAAGAAAATATTTAACTAATCCAATTCATGATGTTAGAAAAACACATAGGTTCAAGAAGTCTTGATAGAAATGAATAAAAACCCTATAACCCAACCACTTTTGAAAGGTGGACCTTTCATCTTCAGGGGCAAAATGAGAATATACAGTTTGCCTCTGAAGAAGAAAGGTCCACCTTTTGAAAGTGTTCAAGTTATAGGGTTTTTATTCATTTTTAACTAATCCAAATTAGTGTTTTCAGCTAGTTTTATTTTCTACTATTCCAGCTATCCAAGCCTCAGACAAGAATAACTAATTAGTTCAATGCAATGTCTTATCAACTTTTATAATTTACCTGTAATAACATCTATCAGTACGTGCTCATATTGGATATATTTCAGACAGCCACCACAAACCGTTTCTCTGTTGTAGAGATGTAAAGAAGGCTGTTGCTGGATGGAAGGTAAATAGTATTTTGTTTCCCCTAGGAATTAAATATAAGTAATTTTATAACTCAGTTGAAAGAATCATGGATCTTTATAAGTTACTTATGTCTTTCTCGTGCAAGTTTTCACTATCATTTTTAGCATGAAACAAAAATCTTGCAGTCTGAGAAGTAGCATAGAGTTAAATTTCCTTTTTTAGACGATGTACTTTTCCCATTTTGACAAGATTAACTTGGTTGCTTACATTACAGAGTCTAATAAATAAAAAAGGTGATGTACTTTTCCCATTTTGACAAGATTAACTTGGTTGCCTACATTACAGAGTCTATAAATAAAAAAATGTGATGTACTTTTCCCATTTTGACAAGATTAACTTGGTTGCTTACATTACAGAGTCTAATAAAAAAAAAAGGTGAACAATTATTCTAATGCATTTTCCACTGAATATCATATTCTATAAATACAAATAATTTGTTTCGCCTTCTCTGAACCTAGTCAATGCACAGTGATTCTTATAATAGTACAAGATATTTAGCTAAAACAGAATAGTCTAACTACTTGTAGTATCTTAACTAACTAACTAAAACAAGAATAATAAAACACTGATTTATATAATCAACCTTAAACAAAACTTTGTACACAAAACATTCCACGAGTTTAGAGCTCTACAAGATGATTAAGTCTGTGCCTAAAATTCCAAAACTTAAACTAATTATTTTATTTTAGTGGTAGTAGGCCAAACTTAAATAAAAAAAGCTTTATGTTTAAGGTTATCGTATGATTACTTACATGTTTTTTTTCATTTTTACATTATATTGATATTCTGAACATTCACATTAACTGCAGTATTACTGAAAAAAACACCAAAAACTTAATGATATTTTCCTAATATCACTGTATGATTATATGTTTGCATTAGGTTCTAATAACAAAACATGGATCATGTCGTCTTTCTTATAAACAGTACCACAGCACCTACGAAAAACCTACATGAACCCAGCACAAGGCTGTAGCTATCTACAATTTGAACCAAAAATATACATTTTTTACCATACGTCAGTACTAGATCATCACATTAACAAGAAAACAAATGGTATCAGTCTCCTTACACACTACTACAGTACCAGTTATTCATAAATATTCTATACCATATTAATACCACATATGGTAATATGTATCTTATTTTTCACAATTTCAATATTTTACATATTTCCCAAGTGCTGAAAATCAGTTAGTGATAATTACATTAAAATTGTGGTATTTTATTTCAAAATCAGATATTTTTAAAACATCTTTTAAGTAATCTAAACATTTCCATAAATATAAATAGCTGGCTTTGACCAGTTATGTTCGAGTTTTTTTAGTACATGACCATACACTTCCAGATAAATCCTTCTTCTAACAGAAATACAGTAGGTATATTCCAACTTCAGTCTACTGTTAACAAATATTACTAGTCCTAGTAGAGCTAAGTACTACTCTACCAGTATCAGCCTATACAACTTAACAACAGGTTGTATAATTGAAAAACAACTTTAACAACCTCATTCCACCTGTGACATAAGGCAGGAAATATTTATTTATCAAGTTCATGCAAACTCACTAAACATCCAAAATGAATACTTGAGTTTCAGTGAATAGCAAAATATAGAGTCAGATATACAGCCTAAGGATTAGCTCTAGTAGTAGTACTACTATTAGTACTATGGTCGATCAATTTGCCAGCCCTAATACTAATACTAGAAATATACTACCTTACTCAGTTACTGTAACTTGCAAGTTGTAACTACTTTAATCCAAACTTTACACACATTATGTAAGCCTAACAGTAACACTAACACTGCAGTAGATAACAACAATTTAATGTCCAATACAGTACAATGGTAAATACCTAAACTTATAGATACAATGCAAATTGCAAGTCATCCGATACGCTTTTTTGCACCGTATTGTACCGTATACGATTATTACTAGTACTAATGGTAGTAGTATACTTCTCCTGACAATATTATATACGATTCACTTAAGATACACAATACATATACTGATACATTATGCGTCACTTCGCGTGAAAGGATTAAGTAAGTAAAAAAATATGCTATTATATATATATAAAGATTTTACTAAACCTTAAATGCTTTTTGTTACCCTCCTAATTAAGAAACTTCTAAGCCTCATTCAATCACTCAATTGTTTATTGACACACGTGCGTGGTATATATAAAAAGAGCGCTATCTGGGAATAAATATTTAAAATATACGTCCAAAAAAAATTATAAAAAAATCCTTAAAAGCTTAAAATAATATTCCTGACATATATTTTTCAGCATAAAATATAAGATATCAATTTATTTAATCGTTAACGATGGCAAAGTAATTTCCATAATGCAGAAAAAAAATGTGAAACCCTCTACACCAGACTGGTTCAAATACATAAAAATGTAACATGAATTAGAATTAATTTTTAATTCTTTTTTATATCCATACAATGTTTTTCTTCCTATAAAAATAACAATTCTGGACTCAAAGATTAAAATTTTAAGTCCAACAACTTATATAAGTATAAAAGGTTTTCGAAAGACATGGCTTGATCTTTTTTTAAGTGAAATAACGTATTAAACTGGACCGGCTAGCATAATGAACTGGTGTGAGTATTGAGGGGTTAAGGGTTTGAAACATTATGCCACTGGAAAGGCTCTGCAATTGGGATCTTTAAAAAAATGATAGCCAATTTAGTCATTCGGTTCAAACAGTCTTATGGCAACTGGTGCTGGTGACTGGCTGTCTTCTCTATGGTTACTAGCTAAAAATTAGGAAATGGCTATATTTGAGCTCTAGTGGGTCCTAACATGGTCACACGGTGCACATTCCTATAAGCTGAAATTACTATTCCATTTCCTATTAATATCCAATTGAACATACTTATTGTATGTGATCTTGTTTTTCTTAGAGGGCGTTTGATTAATTAAAACAAAATCATCGCTTTTTTTCTTGGAGGAATGGCATTGTTGTAGGTGTAGAATAAACTACGGACACAATAATACTGTTACGTCTCCGTTTGTTAATCAATTTTCC